TCTATCTATCTATCTATCTATCTATCTATCTATCTATCTATCTATCTGTGTCTTGAATCAGCATAAGCCTCTGAAACATGTTAAAACAAAATAAATGCATCTTTGACTCCTGGATCATCCCCAGACAAAGAGTAAAAACTATACCACTCCATCAGATTCTGTGGGTTTATTCCAACTTATTTTATTTATGTGTTTGTTAAATGGATACAGTCAAAACTCATTTCAGTGGGAGCAAAATACCACAATTTCCTCTCGAAGTAATACATGGGAGAATTTGTTTATATTTTTTAAAAGAATGAAAACAACCCTTAAATTCCTGGCACTGAGCTAAATAGGATTGGTTTCTTCAACCATGCAGTATTTAGGGTTATAATCATTTGTTAATGTATTACAAGAGAATATAGGATCAACAACAGACTTAGATGGTGGATTATATTTACATGGTGGGAAAAATCACATTAATGGCTTCACTTGAAATTTTCAAGGCAATACATTTATGGAGGAAAAAATAATCCTTAACAAACATATACATTCGTGACATGATAGTAAATTAGTAGTGCAGTCTTACAACCAGCCCTTTCTTTTTGAGAGAAGCTGGACTATATGGAGTGTATATTCTATTGGATTCCCCATATGTGGTTCCAACAGAAGAGAAGATAGCTCAGGGTTGAACTGTGGTTTTCTTGAGGCTCTCTGAGCTTGGTTGTTTGTGCAAGACACACTCATGGTATCCAGCTGAGTAATGAAATTTTGCAAGCAAACAACCAAGCTCAGAGAGCACCAAGAACTCCACAGACTGGACTCTTTTAGGGGAGGACAATCATTCCTGCATTACAAAAATATGGATGATTACATTGGAGATTGTTGGAGGGGGTGGAAATCTACAAGAAGGAATTTCTTATTTTATTTCCATCCCATTTATGGTTTACAAGTTTTCTCTCTCTTCTCAAGATGAGATTAATTTTCTCTACTCAAGCGGAACATTAGAAGTCTTGAGTCGTCAATTCTCTCAGGGGGAGAATTGTGCTTTCAGATTTGTAAGATTGATGTCAGCCTTAGCAGGTAGATAAGACAGAAAATAGCCAGATGAGCTAATTCTACTTTATTGTAAAGATATGTTGACAGAATCTTGCAAGTCTGAAAGTATAGTTCTTCCCCCCCTGCCCAGTCTCCTTTACCGCTCAAGAAACTAGGGAGGGTCTCTTCTGAAACTCTTGTCTCACCCATTACCCAACTGCAGGCTATGTCGTCTCTTATCTGACCATGGTGGTACAATGGTTAGAATGCAGTGTTGCAGGCTAACTCACTGCTTACTACCAGGAGTTTGATCCTGACCAGCTCAAGGTTCATTCAGCCTTCCATCCTTCTGAAGTCAGTAAATTGAGGAGCCAGATTGTTGGGGGTCATATGCAGGGGTGGGATTCGGCTGGTTCGGCCTGGTTCAAGCAAACCGGATGTTAAATTTACATATGGTTTGCCGAACTGGTAGTTGAACCGACCCACCCCGCCCCTCCCAGGAGTCTCCACACAGCCCGTTTTGGTGCAGGTAAGTGCAGGGTCCACATGGAGGCTCTGGGAGGGTGAAAAACGGGCCAAACTGGAAGTTCCGGAAGTCCAGAAACAAGCCTGTTTCTGGCTTCTGGAGGCCCTCTGAAGCCTGGGGGAGTCCATTTTCGCCCTCCCAGAGGCCCGAGGGAAGCCTCCGGACTCTGGGGAAAGCAAAAAACGGCCGAACCGGAAGTTCTGGAAGTTCAGAAACAGGCCTGTTTCCGGCTTCTAGAGGCCCTCTGGAGCCCACGGGAGGCGGTTTTCGCCCTCTCAGAGGCCTGAGGGAAGCCTCCGGACTCTGGGGAAGGTGAAAAACAGCTGGATTAGAAGTTCCATAGGTCACACCCACCATGACCATGCTCACCCAGCAACCAGGCAGAGAACTGGTTGCCGGGATTTTTGAATCCCACCCCTGGTCATATGCTGACTCTAAACTGCTTAGAGAAAGATGTAAAGCACTATGAAGTGGTATATAATTCTAAGTGCTATTGCTATTTCCTAACCAGCACCTCTTGACCGAGTTTTGCAGTTTGGAGTTTTCCAATATACCATTACATTAGAAAGAATCAGAACCCAAATCTCTCTGTTTTTTTAGAGTTGGGTCTGTAGGATCCGGGCTGCAAAAATCTGCACAAGTACCAGATGGCAGGCAGGAATTAAGGACTTTGATAATTGTTGCTCACCATCTTGTGATCATTAATCTGTCTTTAAATAATTAATTGCTGATCATCTGGATTTTTCAGCCTGATGATGCTCTTCACAGCCATAGAACGGATGTGAAATTTTGTGAACTATCATGTTCTGTTGCTCAGTACATTAGTCATTTCTGACTTATTAACATGAATATTTCTCCCATGTTTTATTCCTAAGGAATCCTTCCATCTGTTAAATACTAAAAAAAAAAAAAAAACCCACCACAGCCGCATTGATAAGTCCAAATTGCTAGTTTTTATTTCCTTCCTTGGAACTGTGACCATATCCAATTCTTGCATATGTCAGGATCAGAACAAATATTTTTCTCCTTGGAAAAAGGGACAAAACAGTTCTGGGCATGCTGAGAAAGGACTGACAGATTTATCTTTAAATCGTGTTCAAAAGTGACTCATTCCCTCCAAATCAGATTTTACTTTATTTAAAAAAATAAAATAAAGTAAAATCAGGGTAAGGAGAAAAGGATATTTGCTGAAAAGTGATGTTCTTCACAAACAATGATCAATAGTTACAAGAAGTTCTCATCTTGCGACCGCAATAGAGCCTAACCATTATGGTTATAAGTCATAAAGCAGTTCACCCATGTGACTGACTAAACTGTATGAATGTTGTAAATCTCTAGGCAAGATGAATGGCATACAAATGGCATACATGCCATGGTCACATGACTGTTCCTTATTCATTTATTACAGTCATGTGACCATGGCATGCTGCAAATGGCTGAAAATACAGGCCAATGCCCAAACGCCCAAAATACAGTCAGGTAACTGGAGGGAAGTCAGATATCTGAACTTCAGAACTGGGTCATAAGTGGGGGATTATTGCTAAGTATTAACATCCATTGCTAAGCAAATTGAGGACATGGTGTTAGAGGGAACTGCCCTGAGTAAATTAATCTTGTGAAGCAGGAAAAAGGTCTCCATTTTAGTGACAGAGCCCATGGTGTGGAAGAAGATTTACAATGTCTCAGAGGAAGAATATAAAATATAATGGCCTCAGAAAGATTGCTGACTCACCCATTAGATTCAAGCAATACTTTAACTCTCATAATGCAGTTGGTTGAATTTAGTCTTAGTGAGACTTGTAAATAGAGTTCCAATGATTTGAAGACCAAGGTGTATAGCTTAGTGTGATATAAATCCATCTATTGAAGCTTATTTGACTGACCAAACCATGGTTTAAGGTGTCATATCTATCAACTCTGGGTATAAATACAGAGTTGTACTTTGTTTGCCTGTAGTTACTTTAAGTATAGTTTGTTAAGTAAATGAACAATTGGTTGAGTCTCATAACACACTATTGTAGTGAGCTTTGTGTAGCATGCCAAAAATAGTAAGTGGGTGTAGGCAAGAACTAAGCTTAATTTTACATTTAGTTAACATTAAATATAGTTCATATAATTATAGTGATGTGATTAATAATTTTCCTCTTCTGATACATTAAAAATTAAGTTCGGAATTCAAGTTGTAAAATTCTTGGTGAACCATTCCTAAGGCTTTGAAGTACAAGGTGAACTAATTCCTTATGTTGGCCAGAGATTATGAACGAGAATGCTCGTTGGGAGAGCCAGTTTGCTGTAGTAGTTAAGGCACCACTAAGAAACCAAGAAACTGTCATTTCTAGCCCTGCCATAGGCACAAAGCCAGCTGCATGACTTTGGGCCCATCCCTCTTTCTCAGCTTTAGAAAGTGAGCAATGGCAAGCCACTTCTGAAAATCTTGCCAAGAAAAGTAGCCCACACAGAATTTAAAAAAAAACAAAATGAACCCCTGACTCAAAGGAATACACATATAAGCTGGGTTTACACAAGTCAAGTCAAAAGCATTAATTTCATACAAGCTGCTCAGTTATCATAAGATTGCTTCTTGTTCAATCCTTGGGATAATTTCCAAGCTCCAGTGTCAACTTCGAAACGGACCAGGCCTGGAGCAGGCCATCTTTCCATGATGCCATTTCTCAGCTGTTTCCCACAGTATGGGAGTGGGGGAGAGGTTTGGACTGTCAGACCAGACAATAACAACACATTGTCCCATGGGAACCAAGGTCATCTCAACAGGTGCTGGCCAGAGACTGATAGGAGTTACCAGGGAAACGCCAAAACACCTAATTGGACAGTGTGACCTGTGACAATAGGAAGACGGAGCCATCTATTCTTTAATGATGTTGAAATCACCGGAAATAGTTCAGTGGTGGGATTCAAATTTTTTTACTACTGGTTCTGTGGGCATGACTTGGTGGGTGTGGCTTGGTGGGCATGGCAGGGGAAGGATACTGCAAAATCTCCAGTCAGAGGTGGTATTTGCCGATTCTCCAAACTACTCAAAATTTCCGCTAACGGTTCTCCAGAAATGGTCAGAACTTGCTGAATACCATCTCTGGAATAGTTAGAGTTGGCTTTGTTTTCATATGTGCTGATATAATGTACCCAGTAAAATGGTTCTTTGAGAATGTTGCAAGTCTCGGAGTGCTGAATTGGTTGGGTTCATTAGCTGAACCTTTACATCCAGTTTAAATCCCTACTATAGGTTTTAGGTGATAAGCCCCCTGGAAAAGCCAAGGGAAATAATCAAAACCATAAAAAAGCGACAAAAGTTAGAATATTTTGGACATGTTATGCGACACCCGGGGAAAAAAGGCATACTTCACTTAATCCTCCAGGGAAAGATTGAAGGCAAAGGAGGTCCAGGCAGAAGAAGAACATCATGGCTTCAAAATCTAAGGACTAGTTTGGACAAAACTCAACAGCACTTTTTTGTGAGGCTGTTCAGATCGCTAACATGATCACCAACATCTGATGGTGGATAGGGCACAAGAAGAAAGAAAAGAATTCCTAGTCAACATCACCCTTTCAGCATCAGCACACAACTGAAGGCCAAACATCAGTGTCATGGGAAATTCTCCTACATTTTCTAATTTAAACTATTGTCCATTTTATCACTTCCATCTTGTTCATTGTATTTCCCTCCCCACAAAGCCTGTTTAATACTGCCATTTCATATTTATTCATGTTTAGTAAAAAGATGGATCACTGAAGCCACAAAAAATTACTCAGCTGTTATAAAATTAATTTGAACTCATTGACCTGTAAAGAGAGGAATTTTCCCATCAACGCTGTGGACTCGCTGATGTAAACGTCTCCTTTATGGGTTTTCCAGCAAGCTGGAGGGGTAAAGTCAGCTGAGAAATAACAATGGTGACATAATACTTGAGCTCTTGATTAACTTAATCCTGGTTGATTCAATTAACCCAATTTTCAGAGTCCAGGCTACCCACCGAACCATAAACTAACCATTTTGGCAGAGCTGATCCAACACATGGAGCCACAAACTGTGTTTTAGAGTGAGACAATGTAAGACAGAAGCTAGAAAGGTAACATTTCTCATGAATGGAAGAAACGTGGCCTGTTTAATTTAATTAAAAATGAGATGGGAGAAAGGAAGGAAGGAAGACACAAAAATAATAATACTATCATTCTTTTTTGCCCAATAATTCTCCAGAACACAGCAAAAATATTGAGGTTTTCCAAACATATCCTTCCCTCTCTCTAGAATTTAATTTTGAGGTAACCTGGGAAAGATGCCAAAATTTCACAATGTTAGCAGCAACTTACCTGACCACAATTTTAAGACAGCTATCTTCAAATTCCCAAAATTAAAGTCAGAGGAAACAATAGGAACCATGGTTTACCAAGGACAAAAATCCAAGCATAAAAAAAATAGATGAAATTAAAAGCCGTATATTATCCTGAGGAAAAACTAAGTGGTCCCTGAAAACTGTTTGGGATTTGGTAGCACATAATCCTAATCAGAGCACATACAAATGACAGTTCACAATCTGCAATACCACGATATATAAAAAAGAAGAAGTTCAGAGCCTAGAAAGTGTGCAGAGAAGAGCAAGAAAGATGATAAAGAGACTGGAGGCTAAATCTTATGATAAAACGGTTGAGGGAACTATGCATGTCGAGGAGAAGCATCAGGAGGGGCTTGATAGCAATTTCTCAGTACTTGAGGGGCTGTCACAGAAAAAAGGAGATTGATTTATTCCCCTAAACACCAGAGGACAAGAAAAGAAGTAATGGGTGGAAGCTTGTCTAAAAGAGAGATCCAACCTAGAAGTAAAGCGAAATTTTCTGACAGTGAGAACAATTAATCAATAGGATAGCTTGCCTCCTGGAATTGTGTGCGCTCCATTGTTGGAGGTTTTCAAAAAATAGACTGGACAACCATTTAACCGGGATGGTATAACATTTCCTGCCTTGAGCAGGGGGTTGGATGGAAAACCTCCAAGGTCCATTTTAGCCCTATGATTCTATGTTCTATGCATGCATAATGTTCACAGAGAATAATTGTTTTCACACAAAACAACATTTCATTAAGAAACGAAGGTTTCAATTCATCTGTTCACCTCCTCAACCCCCAGCCATATTCAAATATTTTTTTAAAAAACTAGTGCAAATTTTGACTTATATCCATGTTACAAGGTGCCCGCAAAGATTGGTTGTCAACAGGAAAAGGACAACTAAACAAAATATTTAAAAAAAAAACGTTTTAAAAGTCCTTGGTTTCTTTTTTATAGTCCGGTATCAAAATGGAAGGATTCTGCTGCTGACCATTGGATAAGCTTATTCTTTCTGTTCACTTAAATGTTTATTCATTTATTATATTTATTTTATTTGTCAAGCAAGAATTAGGTAACAGGTATGGTTAAGCATGGTTATGAATACATGAAATGGATATGAATAAAAAAGAAACAATAGGACAGGGACGGTAGGCACGATGGTGCACTTATGCTTTGTTCAACAATGGGAACCAAACTCCCCATTACTTGAACTGCATAATTCTGCCCTTAAAGCGGGAGGGGGGAAATCAACATAGAGTCAGCACAGATAACCCCATAGTTATTGAAACTTTAGTCTGTTAGGAAAAGAGTTTTGGCCTGCTGTGGTTCCAACTAAAAATCAAGGGACTTGTATTGCTATTTTCATTGACAAATAACGTCACATATTTTCTGACACTGTAAATTGCAGTCCTGCTATTGTTAACCAGGATCAGACCTACAGTGAGGACTTGGATATCTATGGTCCAATAAGGACTCAGTCCAAATCTGAGATAACAGAATGACAGAGTTGGAAGGGATTTTGGGATTCTTCTAGTCCAACCCATCTGCTCAAGTAGGAAACCTTGTTCCATTTTAGGCAAATGGTTGTCTTCTTAAAAACCTTAACTGTTCTAGCACCAGTGGTGGTATTCAAACATTTTTACTAGCGGTTCTGTGGGCATGGCTTGGTGGGAGTGGTATGGCTTAGTGGGCATGGCAGGGGAAGGATACTGTAAAATCCCCACTTCCACCCCACTCCAGGGAAAGGATACTGTAAAATCTCCATTCCCTCCCCACCCACTAACCTGCTATCCAGCTCTGTTCTCCTGTGCAGGGAAACAAAAGAAGACCCAGCCAATCAGCTGAATAGATGGGGGTGGGACCAACCAGAGGCGGTATTTACCGGTTCTCCGAACTACTCAAAATTTCCGCTACCGGTTCTCCAGAACCTGTCAGAAGTGGCTGAATACTAACTCTACAATGGACTAATCAAGGAGAGATCCAATCTAGAACTAAGGATAAATGTCCTGTCTTAAATTAGAACAATTAATCAGTGGAATGATTAATTAGAACAAATAATCAATGGAAGGACTTGCCTCCAAAAGTTCTGGGTACTACACAGAGATGGTATTCAGCAGGTTCTGACCTGTTCTGGAGAACCGGTAGCGGAAATTTTGAGTAGTTTAGAGAACCGGCAAATATCACCTCTGACTGGAGATTTTACAGTATCCTTCCTCTGCCAAGCCCACCAAGCCACACCAATAGAACCGGTAGTAAAAATTTTTGAATCCCACTACTCAACTCCCAGAATTCCCCAGCCAGCAACTGATTGCAGGATTTCACAGCTAGCATCAGTCCAATGGTGGTGGATATCCATGCTAATAGACCATGGTCTAATTATTTGGTAGCTGGCATTTTCAGAGATCAGAATGGCCTGCTTTGTCACTGGAAAAGAGGGCTGATGAAAATTCTGGCCATTGTTAATAAATCTTGGTTTAAAGCAATGTGATTAATCAACACTTGTTTAATGTTCAGGGTTACAGATTAACTCGGATATTTGACTCCACCAGCATAGCTAAAGCATATCTTAATGTGAGATTAAATTGCATCTCAACCTTCCAACCTTCACTACATTCATGATTATTTTCTAAATGATTTAATTTTCCATGTGTATTTAATTAAAAATATTAATATCCTTATTCAGGGAAAGCATATGCTAACCTCAGTATCTACCATTATCATTCACATGTTTTGGTAATAAATTCCATGTCTTAAATTCTTACCTTTTCTTTGCCCTTTATAGGATCATTACTTTTTAAATCCATCTCATTTTTACCTTTTATACTGATTTCCATCATGGATCTCTTTTATGAATCAACAAAGAAAGTGGGGGGAGAATGCATTCTATGTCATGAAACATTACTAGAAGCCTAATCATGAGATGTTTCATTTATCAAAGAAGCCAAACATTAGCTTTAAACCACAGAATAAGTTTCATTGATCCTGCCATGACAAGATATCCATTCATTAAAAAGGGTTTAGCAAAGTTTTCCATTTGTAAAGACTTCCTGTAAATTAAAGCTCATCTCATGTGTGCTGTAAATATGTCATGTCAAATTGGCTGGCACTTGTGGAAAGCTTCTTAATTCTGTAGAGAACAGTGAGAGCACTCCAGTGAAATGTGTAAAGTGGAGATAAAGTAACACTGTTTCTGGAAGTGTCAGACCAAGAAGAAGAAAATAAAGAAGAAGCAGAAGAAGCAGAAGTAGGAGGCGCTCATGATTTGATAGAAATGTTGCATTGTCCATAGTGTAGCCTCAAGTAAACTGTAGAGTCAACCATACAGAAAGGATGCAAATAAGTAAATAAATGAAAAAAAAAAATAGATATAATCTATGGCTGTACATGCTGGTAATACTAAACTTGATTTATTAAATAATGATCTAAATCAGGGGTCCCCAACCACCGGTCCATGGACCGGTACCGGTCCGCGGAACAAGTCCTACCGGGCCGCTGGCTTGCTGGGCGCCGCCATCTTTTTTTGATGAAAAAGTGCTTCCGGTGAGCTTTTCCGGG